AGTTTAATATACTTTTAAAATCCTATAATCCATCTTTGTTCTTTTGTGCTTTTGTCAGTTTGTCATAATAGAACTGTCATCTCATCACTTCAAAGTTTCTTTTTTTTAATTGGACACAATATCTTTATTTATTTATTTTTATGTGGTGCTAAGGATTGGACCCAGTGCCTCACATGTACGAGGCAGGCTCTCTACCAATGAGCTACAGCCCCAGCCCTCAAAGTTTCTTTTTAATATTTTTTATTGTAGATGGACAAATAACTTTTTATTTTATTTTTATGAGGTGCTGAGAATCAAACCCAATGTCTCACACATGCTAGGCACAGGCTCTACCACTGAGCCACAACCCCAGCCCAGTTCCAAGTTTCTTGCAACCCTGTTCATCAGATGCATCAAGAAGTTCGTGCTGGAAAGTTCTCCTAAGCTATATTCCAACATTTTACTTTGATATGAAAAGGATATTAAACAATGTTGGTATGCTCACCAATATATGATAATTCTCTTGTGTTGCTGGTAGTTTTGGAGCTCACCTCTGGGTTCATTAGATCATGTGAATCTTCCAGTCTGGACTTTTGTTTCTGAAAGAAAAGCATTATTCATTTGTTTTTTATTAAGAAAAATATGCAAATAATAGTCATTTAATTTTGAACGCCGACAGAATAATGCAGACATGTGTTTGTTTCTGTATGTGTCTCTGACGGTATCAGATCTGATAAAAATATTTGTTTCAATTGCTTATGGCTTAATAGGTGGCCTTGCAAGTTGTAGGACTAGAATTTCTGGATTTTCATCCTTTATATACCTGGGTAAAGTACCTGTGGCAAGTAGGCACAATTGGCAATTTTGGTTGCATCCAATAAAACTCATATGCTATAGTATGAATTTTAGTCACATTGGCTAGAGTATTTTTTTGTTCTTTCTAGATATACATGATAGTAGAGTATACTTTGACATTATGCATACATGGAATATATCTTATTCTAATTAGGATCCCATTCTTGTGTTTGTACATGATAGTTACCATGTATCTTGATGGACATTTGCCTCTAAAATGCTTTGTAGCAAAGCTCAGTGTCAAGAAGGAAGTCAGTGAAGGGCCATGTGTAAGTTTGTACTGATGTATTCATATTTGTATTAGTCAGATTTTTTTGTTTTTGTGACAAAATACCTGAGAAAATCAACTTAAAGGAGGAAACATCTATTTTGGTTCATGATTTCAGAGATCTCAGTCCTTGGTCTGCTGGCTCCATTGTTTCTGGCCTTGTGATGGGGCAGAACATCATGGCAAAAGGGCATGTAAAAACAAAGCTTACCTCCTGGTGGCCAGGAAACAGAGAGGGACAGAAAGACTGAGAAGAAGGGGCTCAGGGACAAAATATGTCCTTCAAGGGCATGCCTTAGAAGACATACTTCCTCCAATGAGGCCCTGCCTCTCACTAATACCAGGGACTGGCAACCAAGTCTTTAGCACATGGCCTTTGAGGGACATTTCAAATTCCAACTATGATAATCTATATACACATTTTCTCAGACTTGAATGGAGGCCTGGATGAATAGAAAAAAAAAAAAACAGATGAGAAAGAGAAAGGTAATCCTCATACTCTGATAAAAAGTTTAGGTTCCATGGTTATCATGAAACAAGGGATTTCTTTCTTACTGCTGATGAATTTGAATTATAATTACAGAGTATTGGTAAGCCACATTAGGTCCCAAGGGCTAGATTAAAAATACACACCATTCAGAAAAACCATTTGAATATTTTCTGAAAAACATAGCAGCTAAGTATGAAATCAATTTATGAACAGATATAAACTGTTGTTGGTTGTCCATTAATTTTAGCTATTTCTCCATGTTGCCAAAGATCAATTTCTGAAAATGAAACGAATGGCCTGTGGCTAGATGTAATGTGTAACTCACTTATAGGTTTCCTTTCTGTTGTAGAAGTGAACAACAACAGTTGAACTTTAACGATAAACAGGTTTTTGATTTGGTTCCTAGAAAATAATGGTGCTTTTGTACAATTCTTGAAATAGAGCCTACAGCCGGCCCCAACAAAATAGTCCCTTTCAAGATCTTGGAAATAATGACATCATAGGCAGATTGAACCAGCAATCCATTAATAGTATCCTTTGTGGAAAGCTGTTTCAGAAGAGGACCTGGATTAGTAAATTGGTATTGTTTACAAACATAGCATAATAGAATGCCCTTTTTTCTACATTTGTGGGAGAGCAGGAGACCCCTCCCATTTAGGAAATAAATATTATGTTAGCCATGAGGCTTCCTCATGGTCCCTACACTCCCTTTCCACTGATTCATCTCTGTAAAACATTTATTCCAACTATTCTTATAATCTCCTGATGGGTTAAATGGAATCGACACAATTCCAGTTTGGTAGGAAGTAGAATGAGCTGCCATATAAGCTAGGTCCTTTGCAGATCACCTTTGATACTGCAGAGCATGTGTGTATGCTGTTGACCTTTTGGTTAGGAATTTCTGGTTCAATATGGAAGAGTATAGTTCAAGTTTTATATCCCAAGCAGTCCTTTCTTCTCATATGAAAATATACCTGGTCAAGTAACATCAACATAATCAGCAGCCTGAAAAGAATCAGGGCATCTACCTGCTTCTCTGGTTAGAGAATGTAATTAGGAAAGAAAAAGGCCACTGTGTGGTGAGCCACACCTACTTATCAAGAACAAAGGAGCATAGAATTTTAAATTATGGAGTTGTCCTAGAACCCTGGCTGGCCCAGACTCTTGTTTGCCTTATTATGCAAGATCAGCTTTGTTTTTTTAAAGAGGTCATGTGTGTTTCTGTGACTTCTATCATCTTAAGTAATATGTTATCAGAAATACATATCATCTAGAAAATGGTGGCTTTCTATGCCTGTGAGACACATTTTCTTTTTCAGAAATCTGTCTTCTAGGTATTTCTTTTTATATGCTCAGTTCCTTTCCAATAACTTTCTAATTTCATTTTAGCAAGGTAGATTTTGTATATCCCAAATATGCCTTATATTTGGGAATTATTTTTGAACCCAGAAAAGTCAATCTGGTAGCAAATTCTTCTCAGTGGCCACATTAAATCCATCAGCCTCTCAGATAAAAATTAATGCCATTTTTGAAGTGAGGATTAAACTGACTTTTTGGAGAAAGAATGAATTTAAAAGAACTAAAACTCAAAATGCAAAAGAGAATGTAGACATATTAGCATTGGTTTCATATTCTTGTTAAATATTTACTAATACCATTAATTAGTATGTATGCATGCACTTCATTCTTGATATCATAGATATACCTACATTGGAAAACGTGAGGCTTATCAAATTGTTGGTAGTGATAAAACATTTATTAGTGGATACTTTCACTAATGCACTGACTGAAAAAAATAAAAGAAGTGGTCTTAATTTGTTAAGATAATGCAAGGCATGGCAAAGCAAAAGAAAAGAGATCTTGTGTCCAAATCAAGATCAAGCCAATCATTGTTAGTTGACAGCCACCTGTGCAGAAGGAGAAGATATTAATTAATTCTAACCTATTTGAGTAATTACAGACTGTGTATTTGAGTGAATTTAAAGCATAGCTAATTTTTAAAAATTCTCCACATAACATGATGTAACTTAGCTCTGACTACTGAAAACAAACACGTTGTAACCATTAAAGGGCTAAAGTGAAGACTGTGAAATGTAAGAATATTTCCTCATTTCAACAGTTAATGAATAGACCCTGGCTTTTATTATTCTTGTACCTAAATAGGTTCGCTTCTAGTAAATGTCAGAATAAAGTAATGTGGTTGGTTGTATTTGGAGAAATTCTTATGTTCCAAATTAGTGCAGGGTACTACTTGATGAATTTACAGAGATTTCATACTAATGGGATTTGATTTTCCTTGTATTCAAACTAGGGATTCTCTTGGAAGGTTTTCTTAGTACTTGAATTGTGCTGGCAAATGTTGAAGTATAACGAAAGGACTTGACTTAGAGTTGGAAAACACCTGAAGACAAACATTTCCTTGCTAGGTCCATGCTTTTCCAGTTCACATCATCCTCCCAGTAGGATGAAACCTGAATGTACTCAAACCTACACTCTAAATAGTAAATAATAATGAAGTTAAGCCTGGGATTGTGGCTCAGTGGTGGAGCACTTGCCTAGCATGTGTGAGGCACTGGGTTCGATCCTCAGCACCACATAAAAAATAAATTAAAAACATAAAGGTACTAAAAATAATGAAGTTAAGAATAAATAAATTCCTAAAACCCAGATTGAATCTTACAAGTCTCTGTCAACTCCCTGTTCCTTGTTTTAGGACATAAAATGTAACATGAAATAAGGTTATAACATCTGTTCAGGATATGCCCTCTCCTCTGGATCTCCTTTTTGTTCATGGTGACATTCCGTCTACTTTCATCTTTTACTTGCTTAGGAAAAGATGGGGCATTTTTTGCCCTACCAGTACATCCCAATTCTGGTGAAAGTACCAGACCTATGGGATGGTTTCTGAGTTTATTCCTATAAATACAGCAGACACATTTTGTAAATCAGGTACACACAGGTAAGAAACAGGTATCAAAACCATTGTAATGTAAAAGCAGCCAACGAATCATGGTTGTGGGCCATTAAAAATCAACAGCCAAACCTTTGTCAGTTCCATACTCTCAGGAGTTTGTGCTTCTTAACCATTATGATCATCAAGATGGAATCTTCAAAGAAAGATTTAACGTGGTTCATTAAGAGACTGGACAGCAGAAATGTGTTTGTGTATACATAATGAATTGTCATTAATTGTTACTGTCACTTTCCTCACTTAGATATTATATTGTTGGTCTTCCGGGGAGGCAAATCTCTTGGTCCTGAAGAGAAATCCCTCAAGTTGATTCATGTAAAACCTAAGAAAACATGAGACTAAGGCTGTTGTTTCTAATATGTTAGAACCTCCATATTTACTATATTTGGTTCGGAATTCTCTTTCCTTAATTCCTGTTTCCTCCTGCTTTTCTTTAGGAGCTGTGAAATCAGTTACAACTGAAAATGTCTGACGGTCTGGATAATGAAGAAAAACCCCCAGCTCCCCCATTGAGGATGAATAGTAACAACCGGGATTCTTCAGCACTCAACCACAGCTCCAAACCACTTCCCATGGCCCCTGAAGAGAAGAATAAGAAAGCCAGGCTTCGCTCTATCTTCCCAGGAGGAGGGGATAAAAGTAAAGTATCAGTGGTCGGGCATTGAAAGGGGGCTAGTTTATTGTTTCATTGTCACTTTTTTTCTCATGTAGTCATTTCTTAAGCCATTGGCTGTTCAGGGCCTGCCTGCCATTTACATCTACATCTTCCAAGGTTGCTTTTTTGTCAGAGGATCATGTTTGATGGACTTACTGTGGGTTGACAGAAAAAATATATGTATGCTATGTTTGCTTTTCAGAGCAAATTGAATTCATAGAGTTAAGTCATGGGGAATCATAGCAATGGTATTGTCTTGAATATATAAACAGTGACTTTCTGATAACTTAGACTAGAATTTAAAATAATACCTTCGTAACTGTAAGTTGTCCTTTTTGAAAATTTGAATATAGGTGATTTTACTTCTGTATATGTTTTTGGGAACTGAACATATTCAACTGAGTGTATGGGAGTCACTCCAAGTCACCACAGTGTTGTCTCTCTGTGTTACAAGGTGGGAAGAAACCGAGTCATTCGTTTCTTCTTTTGGTCTTCTACCAGTGGTCTCCTACACAATCAGCCTCATGTGCACTGAGTATCACAATATATTATCATTTATCCATGTGGTGTTCATAATGCCATTTTGATGCTTAAATGTCATATGCTAAACATTTGTGACATTTGGGGATATAAAATTCCTAGTAAACAACTTTCAGATTGTATTAATAATCTTAAAGCTGATACATGGTTTCCATAGATGTGATTACTGAGGCATATATGAGTAAAGCCAGTACAAGGCCACTGGCATCACAGAAAGTGGCCAAAAGGGTAAGAAAGGTGATGTCTGTAGAAGAGAAAAAGGCACATTCTTGACCTGCTTCTTCAATGTAAACAAGTAGCTATGTAGGTTGATTATATGGTGTTAGTGAGTCAACAATGGATATTATAAGGACAATTGAAACTCTTATCATATGCCTACAAGGTACTTTATATCTTATGCCTGAAATATGGAAAAGAGGCAAATTACATTAAACCTCTGAATTGAAGATAAGCAAATGAATAACAGAACACTTTTCATGCAAGGGATCTGTGACCATACAAGAGGAGTTTTAAAAAAATATATTTACAGACACCGAAGTGGATCTGGGAAAAAAAAATTGCTTGCAACAAGGGATGGTATGAGGATTAAAGGTGTGCCATGACCTAGAGACCAAGTCTTGTGTGACAGTGGTGCCAAAGAAAGGATGTTCTATGTTGTATCTGCTGCAACTGTAGAAATCGATTGAGGGAAGGGAATTACATGCCTGCACAAATCCTTTGGTGCTATTGAAATTGGCATGCTTTTGGAGCCCTTGAATAGTCCTGCTTGCCATTTTGAAGAGCAAGAGCCAACTGAGGCTGATATGAGGTTAGCAAAAACAGAGGCTGACATTTTGGTTTTGGGCCAGTACTTCAGGTGATATCATGGTGAAACCATTGCTGCTGTACAGATTTCAGGGGGAGCAATTGAGCTAAGTTTCCAGTGTGCTGGCATGCAAACAGAAGAGTTTGGATGACTCTTACTCCCCTCAAGGAATAATTTGAACAGTGAATTTTTTTTTTTTAGAAATTCAAGACTACTTAAAAGAAAAAAAATCATGAATTAAATTCCTGTTCATTCTTCATACTCCATGTGCCCCACTTGCATTTGCCAATGCTAATCTTAAAGTACACCTTGTCTTTGTATGTAGCCATATCTCATATCCTCAAGCCATTAGATCAATGTTTGATATAGCTTTCAAGTAGTCATGTTAAACTAATATATAATTTTATTGTTCAGAAAATATTATTTTTTAAAAGAATATTCTATTTCTTTAAAAAGCATTAAATAGTTCAAAAGAGCCTGCCTTTAACAGAAAATGGGAGAAGATTTGGCCAAAGGCAGTGAACTATTTTCAATGATCCATCCAAAGACAGAATCAAGGGATCAAGAAGAATCTGTGGACAAGGATACACATGTGGCACAGGATATATCACCAAATAAGTTGAATTTAACCTGTTCATACTAATTTAAATGATGTGGTACTCCTTTAGTATGATCCTCAGGAAGTCAACAGTACCCTAGAGGTGATTATTATAAATGACAATGAAGACAATTAGGTGGTTGTCAGATTAGAAACAGAGGCAGTTATAAACAACAGATGCAATTTCTTTAGAACCGTATTAAATACTCTTATGGAAAGAACTGAAAATTGGTACCTTTACATGTCATAGCTTACCAGTCTAAAGCTTGAGTGATTTAGCAGAATTCTAAAAATAGGTGCTATGATGCCTTCAAAAACAATCACATTAGACAGGATCCACCTTCAACAGAACTTAAATAATCAAGTGCCATTTAATACCATTGCTGAACAGCTGATAAGCTACCTCAGACAAAGATGAATGATTTAAGTGAACATTTAAAAAAAGGTTCTAAGAGTGTTTATATTATAAAGACCATACTGGGAAGAAAGCAATGCCAGAAAAGCCTAAGTCATCAGGTTATTGCCATTTAAATACCTTTAATAGAGAGCTGATAAGTTGCCTTCAGACAAGGCTTGAATGATTTATAATTGAAGTCTGTTCAGAAGTGCTAAGGTGTCTTCAAAAAAGTCTTAAGAAGACAGACATCTTCAGAAGGGCCAAAGTCATTAAGTAGTGCCACTTAAATTCACTTGATGAATAGAGTTAAAGCTGAAAGCAATATATGTTACAACTTCAGGATTAGATTTTAGTGACTCTTGAGAACACAGACATCCATGATTTGAACTAACAGTTCAAATGTCCACTGTTCATTGCCTCTCTGTCACCCTCATTTTCCACCACCATAATAAATGATAGATACATCCTCATCACCTCTGGGAATCATATCAGGATCTAAATGGAAACTGAAGAACCTATCATTTTTACTAATTGAAACTATGTAAACTCTCAATTTTTATGTAATAAATTGTTATTGTTTTATTTTATTGCACATAGAACATTTATAAGGGCTTGGTTCACTTGTGACTTCCTTCCTTCTAATTTTTTTTCCTCCTAAAACTAGGATTCTTCCAGCTCAACTCTGCTATCTTGGGTTTGTCTAGATACCTGACTCTTATGGGTGGGGAAGAATTACTATTTTTGTTCAGTCTTAAGCTCACAGAAAGAGCATTGGACCTGGGTTCTGGAGAGCCAGGTTTGCATCCAGCTTTGCCTGAAATGATTGTGTCTTTGAGCTGGTCATTTCGCTTCTATGAGCCTCAGTTTTATCACCGATGAAATGAGGATAATACTATCTGGCCTATTTCACAAGATATTTGTGATAATCGAATGTAATTGTGTATACCAGATGCTACTAAAAGTAAAATTAAACAGTGCTACATAGCTGGGCATGATGATGCAAACCTGTAATCCAAGCTACTCAGGAAATTGAGGCAGGGGATTGTGAGTTGAAAGCTAGCTTGGGAAACTCAGCAAGACTCTGTCTCAAAACAAAAATTTTACAAAGTGCTAGATAATTGTGAAGTGTCAACTTAGTATTTCAGACCTTCCAGACAAACACCAAAAAGCCCTATTTTCAAATTATTGTTTCTTTCTAAATAACTTTCTTCATAAATAGAATTTATATGTCAATTAGAATTTAAAAAGAAAATAAAAATTTCTCATAATTTCATAAGCCAAAGGTAACTGCATTGGTACTTTTCCACATACTTTTTTTTTCTCATCAAATAAAAATTGTTCATCAATGTCAAAGACTTGGAAAATAAAAACAAACATATAGAAAATAATAAAATATCACCTACAATTGTAAATCCTAGAATCAATGTTAACATTTTGGTGGATTTCTTATATATGTTATATATGCACATATATAGTTTCCTACATTCTTAAATTCATAATGTGTACAATTTTGTATTCTTTTCATTTAACATTTATATCATGAATATTTTCCTACCTTTTAAAAGTCTTTATAAATATAGTTGTGATGGTGTAAATTAGTTCTTCATATAGTAGCATCACAATCTATTTAACCATTTCTTTTTTTAAAATATATTTTTATAACTTTATTTTTATGTGGTGCTGAGGATCCAACCCAGTGCCTTACCCATGCTAGGCAAGGCTCTACCACTGAGCTACAGACCCACCCACAATTTCTTTCTTTCTTTTTTTAATATTTGAGTCCTTTCCTAATTTTTGTCATTATAAATAATGTTGCAATGACTATTTTGTTTCTCAAATGAAAATATTTGGATTGATGAGAGCAGAAGATTTATAAGCCCCCTTTTAAATGTTTTCATTTACACAGAGCATTGAGCATGATTGTTTTTTAAGAAGACTGTTAATAGTTCTATTGCATTGTCCAAAATGAATTTTGATGGGTAAAAGAAAAATAAGAAGCAATAGATCTGATTGCAAGATCGAGAGTCTTTTTTTTTTTTTTTTTGAGTGCATTCCAGGAGCTGAATCTTGGTGTTAGAGCAATTTAGGAGGGAAAATTTGGCACCATTTTTTGCTACTTCACTATAGAAAGGTTTCAAGATTTAGACCAGGAAAAGAATATCCTGGACAAGCAATTTTACTTTATTTTATGGAGCCTGTGAAGTGTGTGACTAATCAGGTTTCTCCTTTGTTGACTACTGGAAAGTTTAGAGCCAAATGTGTGGTCCATGCATAGCATTTGTAAAAGGACTCCATGGTATGTATGCACTTTGTATTAACTGTCTTCCAGGCTCCATTCTATTTTCCTGTGTTTTTGATTTTGTTTTGTTTTGCTTTTCTTTTACTTTCTTGTCTACATTGAATTTATACTATCATGTTGTATTTGGTGTATTCTTGTAAACCACCTGACATCTATTTTGGAACAAGGTGAGGAATACATACATGAATGAATAAATATATTCAATACATTAGTAAATAAATCAATAAGGAATAGGCAATGAGGCAAATGAATGCAACCAGGACTTTCAAAATGACATAGTGTCTCTACAAATGATCGATATTAAGGATTTGCAGCTTGGAAGAACATATTGGAAAGAATCAGGTG